ACCAAATGAACCACTGGTTAGTATATTCTTGATAACTTTTCATACCAAAAATTTGGTTGTACTTCAGGCATTTGAAAGAGTTGCTATTTGGATTTATTCTCATGTTTGGAATCTACTTATGAAGGCAACGTGGCTTTCTTTGCTTTTTTTCTTGCATGTTTGTGCCCTGGAGCTTATATGTGTGTATCTAATTTATCTGTTTGACAATGTTTAAATTTTTATTTTCTAATCCTGGACAGCTGCAACTTACTTACAAGCCGGAAGACTCTCCTTCAGAAGATCCGAACTTACCAACAGATGAACCAGAGGCTTCTCCTTCAGATGATCTCTCTATTACTCCTGTTGAGACGGTTCCAGCACCACCTCCAGCACCAGCTCCTGCTCCAACCCATTCAGAGACTGGAGATTTATTGGTATATATCTATACCTTTTTTTCTTCTGTAATAAATGATGATGCCTCTCATCACCATCCTTTCCACTTTGCTTGGTCAACTTTTCAGGGATTGAGTCTTGCTACCACAGAAGTATCCGCCATTGAGGAGAGAAATGCTTTGGCTTTAGCTATAGTTCCTTCTGGTGGTAAATTCCAAGTCTTTCTTTCTAATTGGGTTGCTTGAGAAATTTTCCTAACTAGTGTCAATGATATCAAACCTTATATCAGATGCAGCAGCGTCCACTTTTCATTCCAATGGTGTGCAGGCAAAGGATTTCGATCCTACTGGTTGGGAGCTAGCCTTGGTCACCACTCCAAGTGGTAACCTTTCATCAGCTAATGAGAGACAACTGGTATGCTTTAATGTGATTGTGAATTTTGAACCATATCGTTTCCCAGTTTTGCAGTTAGCTGGTGGAACATTTATGAATTAGATTCTTTGAAGCTTAAGGGGAATATTAGGGAATGGAAATCCAAGTATTTTATCCCTCTTTTCTGCCCATGTCCACTAGAATCTCTGAGAACAAGTTTTTTTGTTTATTATTATTTTTTCTTTTTAGTATAAAGCAAGCATTAGGACTGTAATTATTGTGTAGATACACGGTGGTGACCTATTCTTCAATAAATTGATAATTTTGTTCTCATTCTATGACGAACCAGGCTGGTGGGTTGGACACGCTCACTCTCGATAGTTTATATGATGAAGGTGCATATAGAGCTTCTCTACAGCCAGTGTACGGTAAGCCTGCACCAAACCCATTTGAAGTGCAAGATCCGTTTGCATATTCAAATGCCGTCGCTCCACCTCCATCGGTTCAAATGGCGCCACTAGCTCAGCAGCAGGCGGCGAATCCTTTTGGTCCTTACCAGCCCACCTTCCCACAGCAGCAACAACAACCATTTACAATGGACCCAACAAATCCTTTTGGTGATGCAGGTTTCAGTGCATTCCCTGCTCCTAACCACCATACCGTACCTCCACCCACAAGCAATCCATTCGGAAGCACAGGCCTGCTGTAGAGAGCGCTCGCAGTGCTATCTCCAACATGTAATTTAGTCAACAGATTTGGTTTCATCATATTCGGCGGGATGTAAAGGGTCGGTTTTTCTTGAACGAGCTGCAAAGAATGGTTGGTTTGGGGCGTGCGACATTCATTTGTTTGGTTGAAACTTCCAGCGAGAGAATGAATAGTGAAAGGTGTAATAATTAGTGAATGAAATTAATGACCATTTGAAGTTAGTTTCGGAATACTTGGAACTATCCTGTCCTATTCAGCTGATTGCGAGTGCATTTCTCATAGAATTTGGCTATAATTTTTATGCATACGTATGTCATTCATCAATTCATCACATTTCTGATCCTTCCATTCTGCATTTGCCTCTGTATATTTCACTGATATTTCATGCCTCAACATGCTATGCACGCAAGGTCCAAAGCAAGAAGTCCACGATTTTTATGGGCACTTGAGTTCTCTGATGAACATTTTGTCTTATCATGTGTGAACTATTCCAAATTTAGAATTTAGATGTACTTTTTGTTTGAATTGATAACTGTGAATTTTAGGAAAGTTCGTTTACCATGGAACACTTGGTCAAAGATGGATCTTTTTTGCTTAGTGTGAATGAATGTGAATACGACACGACAATAAGTTATTGTCATGTTTTTTTTTTCTATAATCTATTTACTGGGAATTGGAATGCTCTTGAACTAAATGAGAATAAATTGTTCTTTTATTCATTTGAAATTTATTGATGTTGTTTGCTAGAGTTCGTCAAGAATTGAAATATGAATTCCGTGTCTATTTTTAACTAATTTAAAATCAACTAGACCATCGATACTAGGTATATTAAGGTATACTAGGGTTCAGGTAATCTAGTTATGTCTTTTATTATTTTCCTATTAATGATCCACATCATAACTCTATGTCCTATTGGCTCATGTTCTCTAAACAACTTACTATTAGAGATCGGTTGGCTACTCTCTAGTAGTTCCCATACAATTACTATAAAGTAGAGATCGACCTCGTGTCCAATAACTATCTCGATATCATGCTGATCCATGTCACTCTAAACAAATTCACAGTTAGAGAATTATAGGAGATTCTCTAAAAATCACATAATAACTTGATAATGTGCATATTATGTACATAAGGAATTCATCCTAACAAATGTTATATGCCTTAATAGCAAAGCTCACAAATTTGAATGATAGACATGATAATATCACCATACTCGAGCATCTTCACACTTTCAATCAACAACATGCTTTTACCGTAACAAGTCGTATTTAAGCTTGTTTCATAAACTTGGTCAAAAGTAGGAATTATATTGTCTTTTTTCTTCTTTAATCTTAATTAATTAATATAGAATTGTTTTGAATTCTTGAAAACTCATTCAAAATTATTTTTAAACTTGAAAAGCAAAGTATTAAACTTTGATTTTGTTGTAGAAACTAAATAAAAATAATAATTTCCTAAAAAAAAAAAAAAAAAGTCAATTCTTATTTTCTAAGGATGGGCCCCAAAAATTAAAGAATCTTACCTCCAGTTATGAATAGAATATAAATGACTTTTCTAATTGACCAAATTTCAAATGATTTTAATTTTATATTTCATTAGAGGATAAACTTTTTATTATTAATATTATTAATATTATACATTTTAATAGTATTTTTAAAGATTTGGTCTTATTTTGGTGTATTTTTCTTCATTACAAAATAAGATATTTAAATATTTCTAACTTAAACTAAGATTAAGTAATGATGAAGATATTTTGAAAAAAAATTATAAATCTTTTTTTAATGACATTGGTCAAATGGAAATTTTGACTAATTGGTCGAGAAATCACACGATATTTTTATTTTAATTAAATTGTATCTAGGATTGTAAAGGTCATTTCTACCCTCCTTCCCAATATTGATTGAGACAAATAATTTCCGATTTATAATTAAAAATTATCATAATTTCCATATTAATTACATTTAAAAAAATTATTTTTGAAGGGTAGTAATATTTCTTAAATAAATGTTTTTTTTTTAATTTACAAGTTTTCAAACTACTTTATTTCCATTGAAAAAAAAAACACACATTTTCAGACATTAATTACTTCGCGCGTAGCTTCATCTCGTCAAGATCCAAAAGTCAACATTTTAAAAAAATGTACGGAACTGGGCGCTGACTTTAATTAGATAAGTCTTTTTTTTTTCCTCTCAGAAAAAGGAAAAAAGTTAAAATAAATGAATTTAATTTTGACGGCGCAAACAGAAATTTCCAGGAATTTTCAATTATCCAGCTTATTATTCAATATTTAACAATTAATTTTATTAAATTAATTTTCAGAGAATATAATCACCAGGAAAGTGCCTAATAAAATAATCTCAGCCACAAAAATTATAAAAAATAAAAGTTTATTATTATTATTTATATTATTTATAAATGTATTTCATAAATTCTGCTTCTACAATGTTGTTTGATCATTCTTTTGTTCTGTAAAATTATAAAATTTTAATATATCCATAAACTTTTTTAAAAAATTATAATATAAAAGCATTTATTTTTTCATTAATTTTTACCACTTGAATTCAAAAGGAAAATTAAAAAAGTATTAAAAATTTGCCCTTAACACACGGCGTTTGATTTATTCCATTTATGCCCCTGGTTTTACCCGGTCAAGTGACCCATTTTTCCCTTTAATATTGTCTAAATCAGTCCTTTCATTTTCATATGAACAAGTTGCTAATGTTCACATTTTAATTCATATTTAGAGTTCTAATTAAATGCTTAATCGATCAAGTTTTGTGTGTTTTTTTTTTTTTTAATCTAACCAACAAAATATAAAGAAATAAATAAATAAAAAAACAGGGGAAGAAGGAGACAAAAAGTAACAAAATTTTTGTCGTGTTTTGATGACGTGTACTCATTTTTCTTCTGAATATTAATTTTCTTTGTTCACACAGTTTTTATTTTTGTTAGAGCTCTCACTTCATATTAATAGTCTTCCTATATTACGTATCTCACTACCTCACTAAATTCCCTTAATTTTATGTTTATGAGAATATCTAAAATACAATTTTTAATTTTTAATTTTATTATTATCCATCGCTCGCTATTTTATTAAATTCAAAAGGGTCGTCTATGAAAGCGTTCATCTATAACATGTGAGATCGTACGTTAGTTGGAGATGGTAACAAATCATTCATTATAAAGATGTGAAAATCTCTCCCTAACATACGTGCTTTAAAATCATGAGACTGACAACAATACATTACGAACCAAAATGAACAATATCCACTAGCAGTGAGCTTTGACTATTACGTAACCAAAGTATCACTAACCCTAAATTAACTATTTCTCGAAAGATCCTTCTAGTTTATATTGCACTTGGTAGATTCGACACATAAAAGATCTTCTTTCGAGTTTTGGACGAAATTTTGGATCCTAAAATTTTGAGTTTAATTTATTAATTTTTTAGATGATAATTGATGTCTTATCTATTGAACTATGATAAATTTGTTGATAAATTTGTTGAGAATATAGGAGAGAAAGAAGGAACGTGTTTGTTTTTGCAAGGTGGCAGTGGGTTTGAGTTTTCTAAGGTCGTCGATTGGGTCAATTCGTGTACGTGTTTTTGCCTTCGATCTTTGTTTTATATTTCTCAAATCAAAGATCAAATAGCGATTCCCCATTTCTCTGTCTCAATTCCCCAATCCCATCCGCACCAACATCAGCAGCAGCAGCAGCAGCCATTTTTTGATCCTCTATTCGCTTTTCTTCTTCCCAACTTCGCTTGATTTTCGCTGTTTCCAACTTCATGGACTAGACGAGCATGACGAAGTCCAAGAGTATGTTACACAACCTCATGAGACCATTCAGATTCGGTTCATCAAGAGGTATCTGTCAAAAATCCACTTGGTTTCTTCTTCTGGTCCCTTTTTAATTAGGGCAAATCATTTTCTGTATCTTATGATCTTGATTTTTATTAGCGATTGATGGTTTGGGTTGATTAGATAACCAGGGCGAGGACGATTTGGAGCAGATTGCAGCTAATGAACAGAAGTTTTTTCGGTTCGAAACCTTAGTTGAAGCTACCAACAATTTTCACCCCACGAACAAGCTTGGCCAAGGCGGATTTGGTCCAGTTTTCAAGGTTAGATCCAAACCTTACTCCATTGACTCTTCCTTTTTGCTCTTATTTTATTTCATCGAATTTTTCGTAGTTAACAAGGATTTGGACTCCATGGAAGTTTGTAATAAATCTTGTTGCCCTTTCTGCCATTTTGTTTTCTAATCATATCTGTTTTAGCAGCATTTTTCTTCGTTGTTTTGTGCTGAACTTTTGACCTCAATTTGCGGTCAATTAGAAATACGGCGACTATACTTTCCTTGGGTTTCTCCCTATTTGCCTCCTCACTTGCAATGAATCCTGGAATTCGGGAGAACATGTTTACTATCAAGAATCAAGCTAAATACATGTTTTTGGTGTTTTCTTCTTCAATTTAGTTCTTATTTTTCAAAAAATTTATGCAATCTTGCCTCTCATATTTCTACATTTTTCAATCATACCCTTTATTGGTCAATATTGAATTACTTGAAGACGAAGTTGAAATGATATTTAGTGAGTTATAGTTCTGTTAAATTATTTTCCACAGCTATGTACAAAAATGAATTATGCCCTGTTTGATCATTTGGTTCTGTTTTTTAAATTTATGCTTATTATTATTATTATTATTTTTTATATAAATTTCATACTATGGTTTCTACATTTCTTGAAGGAACTCTTGAATTCTTGAACTCCTGAATCTTTTAAGTATGTCTAGAATTTATTTTCGAGGTAAGTTCTGTTCTAAGGATAATTTAATTGATAACATCTTTAAAGATTCACCGTCCAAGCTTGTTCTTGTTTAAAAAAATGGAGAGCAGATTCAACATCCTTTTCAAGTATCATCTAAGTTTCTTTTACTTTTCTTTTTTTTTGTAGGGGAAGTTAAAGGATGGAAGAGTGATTGCAGTTAAGAAGTTGTCACAATATTCAAAACAAGGAAAAAAAGAGTTTATGACTGAGGCCAAATTGTTGGCTCGTGTGCAGCACAGAAATGTTGTCAATTTGTTGGGTTACTGTGTGCATGGTTCAGAAAAATTACTGGTTTACGAATACGTCACGAATGAGAGCCTCGACAAGCTTCTCTTTAGTAAGTAATGCTGGGAAATTTAGTTCTTCTACCTGTTCTTTCAATCTATATTATTATTTTTGTTGTTGATATGATGCCTGATCTTCGAAGAACTGTCGGTGATAATAATTGTTGTTTGTTGTGGTTGTTGTTATAGCAGAAGCCAACAGACGAGGAGAACTTGATTGGAAGATGAGGTATGGCATAATCTTTGGCGTAGCACGAGGGTTGCAATATCTTCATGTAGACTCACATAATGTCATTATCCATCGTGACATTAAGGCCGGTAACGTTTTGTTGGATGATAAATGGGTCCCTAAGATTGCGGATTTCGGTATGGCTCGTCTCTTCCCGGAAGATCAAACTCATGTCAATACTCGTGTTTCTGGTACAAAGTAAGTTTCTTTGCTTTGCTGCAACACCCCATCAAATTTCTGAATCCTATATGGAGCGCTTCACTAATTTTCTTTTTTCATATATGAATAGCGGGTATATGGCTCCCGAATATGTAATGCACGGGCATCTATCTGCGAAGGCAGATGTATTTAGCTTTGGTGTTTTAGTGTTGGAGCTTATCAGTGGCCAGCGAAACTCGTTATCATCTGGTTTATTTATGGACGCCGAAAATTTACTAGAGTGGGTAAGGTTTTAATTGTGTATGCTATGTAGGCTGATCATATTAAAAGATCATCACTGTAGTTGTTAGTCATTTAGAAATTTCTGATCTGTATTCTATAAGGTCTTGCTGAGATATGAATTTTGCTGCAGGCTTACAAGCTTTACAAGAAAGGCAGGAGCTTGGAGATCATGGACCCAACTTTAGCATCATCAGCTGATCCTGACCAAGTTACAATGTGCACTCAGATAGGATTGCTTTGCACACAAGGCGATCCGCACCTACGGCCGACCATGCCACATGTAGTTTTGACCCTGTCGAGGAGACCTGGTACTTTGGAGGAACCAACAAGACCGGGAATGCCTGGTTCTCGATATAGAAGAACACGTAGGACAAGCGTATCGTCCTCCAATGCTGGAACTTCTGGTGCATCAGATTCCTATGCTTCGACGACCAATACTACTGGAACTATTACTGCAACGGCAACTGCAACTGCAAATGAGATTGCTTCTGGTTCTTCTTCAGTTAGTCAAGGATACGTTACTCGTGGGAAAACTATTACCGCAACCGAAAACGAAATTGCTTCTGGTTCTTCTTCAGTTAGTCAAGGATACGATACTCGTGGGAAACGTCCCATGGAAGGTTAGGGTCTTTTCTAATAGGTTCATTCTTTTTGTTCACAAGTTTTGTACCCTTGGTTTATTAGAATGTAAATGTGGCTGTGGAAAGTTTTTGCTTGGATCGCCATTCCTTCCCCATTCCCCCTTTCTCATCACATTTTTTGTGTACAGTAAAAGTTTGCAGTTGTAGGCCCAATCCCCAATGTACAAAGATCTGCACTCTGTATTTTCAACAAACTTTGACCATTCTTCTTCATGAGGTGTAATAAAAAAGATTTATCGCTTATTTTTTAATTGTTTAGGTATAAAATATGGTAGCAAAGATTTGAGATCCCATATCGGTTAAAGAAGGAAACGAAACATGGGTGTAGAAACTTCTTCCTAGTAAACGTGTTTTAAAACTTTAGGGAAAGCCAAGGAAAAACTCAACATTATCTATTAGCAGTGGGCTGGCTAGGGCTAGGGCTGTTACAAATGGTATGCAAGCACGTTGCCCCTAATGGGGTAGATTGTAAGATCCCACGTTACGTTTGGAGAAGTGAATGAAGTATTTTTTCTATGGGTGTGGTAGAGAGGGGAACGAACGAATCATTTGTTATATGGGTGTGAAAGAGAGGGAATGAAGTATTCCTTGTATGGGTGTAGAATTTTCCTTCGGTTAGAAGCTCGCACAAGTGGCTTGTAATAAAAATAATAATAACATTTTAATAATAATTTAGTCCTTACTTCAAAATTTCTTACAATTTCGTCCCCCAATTTAATAAAAATTTCAATTATATTAATGGAAGTATGGTTTGTTATGTTTTGAATGGATAAGAAGGGGTTGAAGTGTTTGTAAAACGAGTGAAACAGGAATGGCTTGCTTCTCCTGCATTTCTGTGACAAAAAATGTGGCTATCGCTTCACTCAATCCCAGCGACGACTCTCACTCCCCTCCTCCCAAAACCAATGGCGCCGCCAAAACTATTCCGATCACCAATCCACGGTTACGCCGGCGGCTTCCAAAACCTCGTCGGCCCTCCGTTATTGAAATCGAACGTGCTATCGGTGCCGGAAGGTTCAGAGACGCGGATCCCAGGCAAGTCCGAGAGTTCTGTTTCGGTGTTCTGAACTTTATTGTAGTGAAATATGAGATGTAATCTGAAGTTCTGATGCTCAGGGATTTGGAAGAAGATAGGAAGGCTGCATTTGACATGTTTTTGATGAGTTTTACGGGGAAATATGAAGGGGCACTCATGAAGAAGCTTCGCGAGACAGGGGAATGGGTAACTGATCAGACTGAAACCAAATTTCAAGCTTCAGGTAACCAATTCTCTCGAAACTTGATTGTATTTTTGAGTAATGAACACTCCACTCCCTCTAGAATCTAGAGAATAAAGGAGTTCATTAATGTTGTTGCTGAGTTACCCCATCAAACAAGACATTGATTTGATTTTAATTTGCAGGAAAATCGTTTCTGCTGTTTACGTTTCAATGGGTTCTTCCAATTTGGGCATTCTCACTCCTTGTGGCTTCTGGGGTCATTAAGTTACCATTCAACACTCCATTTCTTGATCAACTTCTTACGTAACAAGCTTTCTTAAGTTTCTAATAAGTCCATTAATATTCAATTGCGTGTAATAGGATTTGTGAGTCTACGAAAGTTTAATGTTACATGAACTTTGTAAACACAGCTCAATTGATGACAGCCTTACTTACTAATTGAGTTTCCATATGGGTTTTGGTACGCAGCTTTGAGTTGAGTTTGTCTATATGAAAGATGAAAGCTTGCAAAATTTAGACGCTTTGCGGTGCCGTATGATTATTCGCCAAAAATTACATCTACTTTAGCCAGATCAAATATGCCTCAAAATGTATTATAATTGGGACATGATGTTAAACTTCCACCACCCCTACGTCCTATAGACTAATGAGCTAACCCATGACACGTGTCATGGTGTGGCGAGCATTGCGAGATGAGTGTCCTGGACGTCTTCCTTAGAAAATAAATTTTTTACCGATATTATGTCCTAGCCCATGAGTCAAAGGTTGGTATATGGGGCGACTCACTTCTACGGTATTTATAAATTTTTCATGAGCATATCTAAATCATGATACTACACGGTGCGAAAAAAAAAAAAAAAAAAAAGTCATTCTTATTCTTCTTTTTTGTTTTTTGTTTTTTGGTTTT